GGATCGATAAACGGGACTCCACTAGAGCCCTGTATTACTTGAGCGATACGTATACTTGCGTTTGAAATTGTGACTTTACAAAATCATTATAAATATATAAATCTGGGTTCATAAATTTAAGCATATATAAAGTCGCTGTCAGGCCTCTCCCGCCATATTTATTTTCCATCATTATAGATGTTCTCATGCCGGAAAATAATGGAGCATTACAACAAAAAAAGATATCTCCCAAATTACATATATAAATAATCTATTAGTTATTGGTAAAACTAATGTAAACACAACAGTTGGGCTATTCAATGCACACTATGATTTTTTTAACCTTACTAATCCCTACGCAAACTCAATAAAATCTTCCACTTGTTTCTTCAAATCTGTTTCAAATTTTAGTACGGTACAAATTGATTATACTCTTAGTTTTTATGAGAAATCCTTGCTCTAGAAATAGCTTGGAATTTACATACACTCCTCCATAATCACATCTTATAGTTTTCCTCATGTCTTTGAGTGATTTAAGGACATTTTAACTAGATGGAAGCAAAAAAAATTTATCCTTTACTGTAAGGTTTCAAATAATTAGAAACATTATTTAGAACTTTTCATCTTAGTGGTTAAGAGACACCTCTATTCTTATGGGCCTTAAGAAAAATATAATTTCTGAAATAAATAAATTCCTACTCATTGGTGGCTCAAATAACAAATATCATATGATTGCCTAAAATAATACTACCAGGCTGAAACACTGTGGAGGGTTGGGCCTTCCCAATCTTTACATTTTAAATGTCTTATGCAAAGCTAAGCTCATTTGAAAACTTTACAATTTTGGAAATGCCATATCTAAATGTCACTGTACACATTATGGCTCGTTCTTCCAACCATGGACTAACAAGAATCTATTTTTTAAAATCAAAACTTCTAAGAGAATAAGAAACTAAATAACTTTTAAGTTTACTAGTAGCGGTAACCTTTCTTTTTTTTTCTTTTTACTTTGGTAGGAGGGAGTCTCTCACTGTAAAAAATATGGTGGGATTGTTTTTTATCAGTGCGATTGTACAAAAGAAAACCCACCTAGCAATTTTTTGAGAAGAAGTGGATGGGCTTTCCCCTCTAATCTTCATGACCCTTCTAATTGCATATATCACATAAACAAAAACAAAGTTTTGAATTCTTTATTTTCTTGTGTAGATTGGGAAAGACAGCATTGTCTATAAAGATATCTAACTTTTTTTATAAAGATTTTCCTATTTTACATTGGATTAAAAAAATTTGGTTCGATGGACTCTCTCTCAAATATGCTTCTTTTACTTAGAATATTTTACTTTATGGCTTAACTACAATAGACAAATTAGTCGTTACAGGTCTCAACATGCATAATACATGTCTTTTCTGTAAGAATTGTTCTAAAAATCAAGCCCATCTTTCTTTGAATGCTCATTTTCTTTTCGAACTCTCCAAAATGCCACCACACTGGGCTCTTCCTTTCACTTTTGCTGTAATTTTTAACAATATTTATTCAAGTTGAATTGATTAGATGCAAAATCACTTCATATTTCTCTTCTAGTTGTTCAAGTCACTGCACATCTTTTATGCCTTGAGAGAAATGCTAGAAATGTTAGAAATTAAAATTTCAATGTTAATTCATTTCTCTAAGACATTAAAAATATTGCCAAATACAAGAGTAGAAGATGAAAATTCAGGCAAGGCATCCCTTGCAACATTACATCTTTTTTTAATTTGCAACTTGTGCAGCTCTATGATTTCTCTCCATCTTATAACTACCTCTCTTAAGGTTTCAAAAATTGTTGGTGGCTTTCTTTATTTGTTCTTATGAGGCCACCGAGTATTTACTTGCAAGGCTTATTCTGCCTTAAAACTTTCTAGCATCATTGTCTTTATGTTACCTTTTGGTGCCTTAGAGGATCAATCTAACAGCAGTTGAATCACATCCAGTAGAATTCGATATACTCTTTTTTGGTATGTATTCGCTGCAAGTTTACGTTTGATGGTTCTAGATGACTTTTTTCTTATTGATGGTTTCTAGATTGGACCCAACATCCTCACTGTCCTGGATGGAATTTGATCCCAAATCATGTTAGGGGATTTTTGGAGGGCTATGATGTTAAATACATGTGATATGAGCTCAATCAGCTTCAACTTTGTGGGCGAATTCTAGTTTACTTATGTTGGTTTATCCTTTATGATGCTTGCTGGTAAGAGTAGAATCATTCTGCTTGTAGGCCTAATTCACAGATAGTTCTTACTCTTTGTCAATCTATCCCTAAGCAAGACCTACCATCCAAGCCAAGATGGAGTCTTACAAAAATAAATAGTGGGATTATCTGATTTTTATCCAGCCACTTGGTGCAAATCTATATTTTTAGTATTCTTTATACTCTTGTTTTGTATTTTGTTGTGTTTCTTTCAAGATTTTTTATTTAGGGATTCGATTTAGGTATTAGTAGAACTAGAATTTGAAAAGAGATAGGGGATGCAAAGTTAAAAATTAAATTAAATTAATTAAACATTTATTTTCTTAACATTAATGTAATTAATTTATTTAAAATTGATATTACTTAATTTTATCTAATTATACTTTGTAAAAATTTCAAATGGGACCAAAAGTTTCATTTGATTTGGGGAGGATAAAATACAGCTTATACATGTTTTTTTTAATTAATTAATTATTTATTTATTTATTTATTTATTTATTTTACTTAAAATATGAGAAATCGTAAGTTCGTGTTCCGGACGTACGGACAACGGTCACGATACAACGGAGGATGGGACCTCCGCTAAATAATTTTTCGAATACATTTTTTTCGATACAACGATCACGATACAAACGCTTCGATATATTCTTCGAATTTACCTCCGTCCATGTAAATTATAAATAATTTTGTTTTGTTTGACCAAGCCAAAGGTGGCTCCCCAGAATTCCTCCGACAGGACAAGCCCGAAAGCCCGGCATCAACGCATACACAAAATGCAAGAAAATGTATAAAATTTTTCCATTATAAACATTCAAATAAAATATAATAAAAAAGGAGAAATAACGGACGAGTACAAAATCCCCCCTGCACTGCTGCAATAGCGCAGGCTGAGAAAGCTGCCGCTTCTGACCTTCACCCGTTCCCCGACTATCTCCGCACCTCTCCAAAATTCTCATCTAATCCTTCTTTATAAAAAAAAAATTTCTTTTTTGAAGAAAAAGAGGATAAATTTCTGTCCATTTTATGGGTTCATTTCTTCCCCCTTTTGACGTCTGCATTTAGCAGGTGCTGAATATCTGATGAACAGCAGAAGCTATATCGTCAGCCGAGCCGAGCCTACAGTCTTCCTCCTTCTGCCAGGTCAAAGATCCAACTTTTTAAGCACAAATAACTTTAAAATTATTTTTTTTCAAAAATATACCAATCAATCAAACCAAAAATTTAAAATAAAATGAAAAGCTAAAATTACATTTTTATCTTTTAAAAATGCAAAGCGTAATTACTAGTACATAAAAGCGTCGAAAACAGATGTTGGGTTCATTCAAGATAAGATACTACATATTTGAAAGGAATGAACCAATATTATTTCATTTCATTCACTGTCATCCTGTTCAAAAAAAGAATAAATGTTAATCTTAGCAATAAAAAGTTTCGCAACGTTTAACTAGGCATATGCATCATCTAATTATAATGTACTTACGTAAGGTATGTCGATTTTTTAGAAATTAGAAAAGAAAGGGGATATTTACATGCTTGGTATCCAATTCCTATGTATTTTCATATCTAAAATATAAACTTTAATGTTCACATAGAACTGGGTGGTATGTATGTAAATCTTTCCTTCTTATAATCAATTTCAGTATGTTTCTCCAAAACAGAAAATTCAATGATTTTAAATTTTTTAATATTTACATACATGCCACTGAATTCCTATGCATTTAAATATTTAACACCTATAGGTTACTTTTTAGATACATACCATCTTATCCGAGTATTAAAAGATGTATTTCAATTTTTAAAAGTTTAAATAGTGCTATTATTATATGATATAAATAAATTTAGTAATAAAAAAAATCAGTTGTTAGGCATGTAAATCCATAAAAATTGGGCGATGTATGTAAATGTCCTTGCAAAAATATTTTCAATATTAATTATAAAGAAAAAAGCCGTTAAAATAAAGAAGATTCACATAACACATAATTTTTTGTATCTATATATTTCACATCTAAACTTTCATATTTACAAAGATAAAATTTTAATATGTTAAATCTACCCACAAAAATGTGTATTTCAGTTAAAAAAAATTATAGAATTTTTTCCATGTGATATTAATAATTTTCATCTCTAATATTCTAAATTTCTAAGCACATAAAACCTAGCATTCTCCATCCCCTCTAAAACTCTCCCCAGTGTGATATTAAGCCCACAAAGGCCATAGAAGTCCCAAATTCTTCCCCTTCCCCTGAAGCATCCCGATTACGCGTATAGTAGTATTGTGGTGTTATTTTATCAAAAATATTAACATAATATCATCAATAACACCTGAAATACTAGCATCGCATCTAATCAGAACGCAACTCATTCTTATGAAATATTTTTCCTTCCTTCGGCTCCCAAAATGCTGAGAAAAAACGACCGTGAAGAAAACAGATTTAAATTATTCCCATTATTCAAGATACCATTCCACAGAAGAAAGGCTATAAAAGAGAGGGGTAGATAGTAGATTTGTGTGTTTAGAAGCTTATACTGTTAGGTACTAAATATAAAGTTTAGGGTCTTAGATGTACAAGTATCGAAAAGAGGTATCTATGCCAAATTCTTAATTCTCCCAGCCTCTCCATGCTAAAAAAATAAGAGAACTCTAAAAAAAATTGGATCTTTCATCTCACGATTAATCTCGGTGTAATATTAAATTAAAATCATGGATTGAATTTGAACTAAGTCAAATTTAAATCAAGGTGGTTTTAAAAATCGAATTAGCTGAATTATTTTGAACGGACCTTTAAGTTGAGAGAATAGAGAACAGAGACAGCATCCAGAGAAGTAATGCTAAGATGCAGGACTGTAAGCCTAAGCTCTTCCATGGCGGCTACGGCCCTCACTATCTGCCCCGGTCTCCTCCTCCCCGCCACCTTCAAGTTAACGTGTCCCTGCACCGCTGTCACCTCCACATCTACTTCGCACTCTTGGTCCTCATCCCCTCGTTGCAGTCTAGAAGAAAACCCTGTATACTGCGGCGACACAAAAAAACTGCTCACCGTCGCCGCTGCCGGCGACCACCCATCCTCCACACTCGCCGGCGACGATCGGCTACTTTTCTCCGCCTGAAATGATAGAAGCATCTGCTCCAACTCCTTGATGAAATCAATCGCTCCGCCGATAATAGATGCTTGGTCTCCCTGCAACAAATAAATTGCACTAAAAAATTCATTTTTCTAAATCAATCGCTATAAAAATTCGATTTTTATTAGCTATTTGTTTATCTGAACAAATACGCCCGTTGTAATTGTAAATGAGCACGCATAAATCATAAAGTCTGAAATAATGACAACAAAATTAAGCACTTAATTCTCATATTAGTTAATTATACAACCTATTCAGCTTATTTATATAAAAGTTGGCAAGTTCAATGGCAGCCATAAACTGGAATCTAATTGAATCGATTCATCAAATCTTATAGCAAGTATCAAACTAATATATAGAAAAATCAAATGAAACGCCTAACTCTTTGCACGAATGAAGAGGGCATGAGAGAACGAAGCGCGGCAAGATGCTCGTTCATAAGCCGACGCCGGTTTCTCTCCACCACTATATGCGTCATTCTCTGGCTCTCCGCCTCCCCCATTCCGGAGCAGCCGTTCTTTGCCGCCATCCGTTTCCTCTTCTTCCTTTCCACCGCCGCAGGCAAAAAAGAAGAATCTTTCCCATCTCTATTCCCTCCATGAAAAACAGATTCAAGAGCTGTGGTCGCGCAGCTCAACCTCTTCGATTCCATACACTCTTCCAGAAACTGCGACTTCAACCAAACAAGCCATCAAAAACGGGAAGCAGAGTTATTAGCTTTATTGAAAAGATAAATAATTATATAAAAGCGCGATTTTTCCTCCTTTTCTACTATTTATGTCTGAGCATCAGTCGCATTGCAATGAATGACATTTCCATTTTCCTCTTCTTCAGCCCCTTCCTGTTTCTAATCAAAGCTGCAGAGTGGAAGTTGGGAAGGGAAAGATTGGGCTTTGAAATTGAAGACTTACGAAAGAATTAATGTGTCTGTGAAGGCTCTCCATTAGCAGAGTAGCAGCAACATCAGCATGAGTATCTCTGACTTCTCCACTTGCTTTGACTGAAAGCCAAGTAAATTCCTTTAGCTTGGTCTTCGAAATTTCATGAATAATACCCTTCTGATTTACTCCTACACCAATCCAGTAAATAGCATGTTTGAGAGCATTCTTTTTTTTTTCTTTTTTCTTATTAAAATTTTTTACCGACTGAAAAAACTTGCACCCACAAATACAATGTCTTTTAGTATCCTAATGCTATAGAAAGAGACTGGATGTTGGAGAAAGAAGCGACGTGATCATACATGTTAAGCATTTATATTGCAAAGCAGAGCATCAAAATACAGTAACATTGAAGAGCGAGAGCGAGAGAGAGAGAGAGAGAGAGAGAGAGAGAGAGATTATGTGTGGCAGAAGCACAGTTTAGTATACTGATAACGTTTTAGATCTGAGTGTTGTAACTTTGGAATCCATTACAGAGCGTCTGCATTATTGTAAGGTGGCAGATTTGTCCAGAGCGAAGACAGTCAGTTGTGGGGACTCTTGTTCATCACCTTTCATTCTCATCTCTCTCTCATTACGTTGTTCAAAATTATAACCTAAAATCTCTCTCCCCCCTAACAAAAATGTGATCTTTGTATAGTGGAGTTTTTTCTCCCATTATATTGGAGTTTTTTCTCCTGTTTATCGTCCCGCTCAAGGACTAATTCCAACTAGAAAGTTCTTGGCTTTATTATCTTACCTTTCTTAATTCGACTAAATCTATGCTTAGTTTTCTCTCTCATTACTCCTCTTCTAAATTTCTTTGAGAAATTCCGAGCGCTAGCTTCCAAATTTACTTATGAAGGGAAGAGAGACTAACCCAGAGAGAGACGGGGAGAGAGAGTGTACCGCAGGGGACACAGTTTGGGGTGGACCGCATAAATGACAGTGGATTGGAATAGGACTTCTTTGATGAAGGAGAGAGAATGATTTTTATAAGGAAAACAACAAAAGCCCGTGAGGGAAGTTGTTTGAGCCGTTTGGATGGTTAAGTTTGTTTCTTTCTTTTTGATAACATAAATTTATTGGTGACTTTTACTGGTGACATAAGTTGGTAACAAACTAAATAAATACTTTTAAATTTAATTTAAATTCTTGTGTTAATGTTTATGTTTGGAGAACCGGACTGAAACGGCCGGTGGTCCGATTTGGGTTGATTTAAAAACCACCCCCACATAGAATCGGATTGAACTGGTTTAAATCAGCCTGGAATCTGCAATAACGGCCAGTTTTATCCGAAACCAGAAATTAATTTTTTTTACAATTTTACAGCCAATTTATATACCTTACATATCTTTCGTGGACTCTATTTCTTACATTTATACACCCAAATCGCTCATATCACATCAAAAACATTACTATTACAAAGAAATTCAATTTATATGCATATCACCTAGTTTTATTTTTTTACTCTATTTATTTACATTTATATCACCAAAATCATCAATATCACATAAAATGTCACTATTTTAGAATAGTGAAATACAAGTTTCCATGCATAGTTAAAATGAATGTTAAAATTAAAATTTAGATATTAGATATTTAAATACATAGTTATTGAGTGTTATGTAAATCTTATTTGTTGTCATTTTTAAATATTTTTATGATTTTTATGGTCATTATGTTCAAACCCGGTTCAACTTTTGAACATTGAACCTTTTCTATTGCAGGTCTATTGTCTGGTCTGGTTTTGAGATACTTGCTTAATGTATTCAGTATTGTAACTGTATGAGTAGACTTTAGTTTTTTGTTTATTTTATATGAAAACAATGCAGAAGAGTAGAAATTCACATAACAACAATCAAACACAAAGCTTTACATGATTCGGCGTTAATTTGATTCGCCTACGTCCACGATGAGGGAGATTTCACTAGTACCGGATGGGGGGAAAGAAAAAATGTCTTTGACTACAATTTCCACACACCTCTCCTTTTTCATGAACATTAAGTCCTATTTTATAGAGGAGGCTTAAAGCATGAATGGAACTGAATAAAAAAGAAACAAATCAAGCACAATAATACCATAAAATAATAATCTCCATCTCAACCTTTACTTCCAGATAAATAAGAGAAGACTAAATGAACTTCAAACTCCAATTCCGCTGCACTAAGATGGTTTTCTACGTACTCCCCTTCTAAAGAGATCAAGCCTCTTATAGTTCCTCAAAATGCATGACTGGTCAATCAGTCTTGAGCTCGGATGCACACCAGACTCTTGCAATAAGTGAACTTTGAGACTGCTAGTACCTTCGTGAGCATGTCCGCGAGATTATCCTTTATATATATCTCTTCAACAGATTTTTGTCCTCCTTAATTAAATCCTAGATAAAGTGATGCCTCACATAAATGTGTTTAATACAAGCACAATGAACTGAATTTGTGGCCAAGAATATTACACTCTGATTGTCACAAAAAACCAACAGGGAGCTCTAATTACACTTAAGTCATCCAATAGACCCTGCATCCATATTGCTTCCTTCATCGCCTCCATGATTGTCGTGTACTCAGCCTTCGTATTAGACAAAGCAATAGTACACTTCTTTCGTTCCTTTCTCTTTATATTTTTTTTAAAGAGTGATCAACTTATCGATCATCGTATATTTCGTTTTCCCAGATAAATATCTCTTTCGATCATATGAATGATCATGAGAATGGAGGAACCAAATAAAAAAGGCATAATACAAAGATGATAAACAAAAATAGAACGTGGAGAGCCTACGTGCGGCAAACCTTGTAAAGATATTCCAAGTATGTCTGTTCAAATAAGATCAGGTAGAAGCACCTTGGACTAGTATCCATGATAGAATACCTATGTAGACCACCCATAACCGGAGATTCAGGTGCATGTGCCTATTCTGAGGTCAAGAGCACTCTCATAAAAACATATCCCTCTGGTTAATTACATCTTAGAGCATACCCAAGAACACTTTGTATAAAGGGGTTTCACTTATATTATCATAGACCTGGAGAAATAGGGAAACAAAAGAAGGTTATTTCGTATGGTAAAGTCTCGATGCTTCAAAAATTAGTATATCATCGGGTAGAGAGTGAGTCTCTCACATCCAAAAGGGGTAGCAGTTCATCAGCACACCGGACCCACGTAATAACTATAATCATTTTGACGGGGATATCTCAACATGTCAATGCACAATCAAGCCATAAGGGTAAAGAACAAACTGTCATATCCAACACGAGAGGTAACTCATCTGTGTCAGGCAATCAAGATGATACCAATGAATTAAAGGAGCGATAGGGCTCAAAGGGGCTCAACAACAAGAAAGGTAGAGTAATCCTATGAGGTAGAGGTAATTGGGTCGGGGTACCATGTATCGTCATCCCAAGCCCTAAATCTACCCAGCTGTGAAAGTAGTTGACACAACACATCTAGAGACCCACAGCCAGCAATCCTTGAATTGCATAATCTACGGGGAATCTCGGTAGCCTTAAGGTCAGAGGAATGAAACCCTATCATATGACTATTGGCTAGAGCTTTAAGAGGTGAAACTTATTCTCACCAATGTGGTGAGGATGCCTCGGGAAAGAAAGGGAGAGGGAGGTTCAACTACAAAGCTGTAAATGCTCCAAATAAAAGAACTTACACCTCGTTTGGGTTGGGGAGCCTTCTAATACCTTCGGTACCCTGAACAACCACCTACATAAAAAGATATGTTGGGTCAGTCAGATTTCATAAACACGTGGGGTTCTCCTCTGGACATGCAAAATGAATGCAGTTGTCTAGAGTAGTCCTTAAATATTATGGATGCCCTATTATATGACTTATGTTAAGCCCATGCAATGCAGCCCATTTCAAATCCAACTTGAAATTCATGCAGAAAAGTAAAAATGCAAGTTTTAAAATTCAGAATATTTTAATCCTAAATTTTCATTATCTTAAATGTTTTCTTAGGATTTTACCAGAAATATTTAAAATTTTAAATCCTAAAGAGCCTATATTTCTTTTGTGATTCTTATACAATCCACAAAAATAAACAAGGAAAACATTTCAAGCATTCAAGAATGCAATAAGACAAAAAAAATAAGCCAAATAACATATATAAAAGGCTAATGTCGCTGGGCAGCAAAATATCTCAAAAAAGAAAAGAAAACAGCCGAATTCCGCATATACATATCCAATCCTATAATAGAATGCAATAAGACAAAAAAAATAAGCCAAATAACCTATATAAAAGGCTAATGTCGCTAGGCAGCAAAATATCTCAAAAAAGAAAAGAAAACAGGCGAACTCCGCATATACATATCCAATCCTATAAATATACATCAATATCAAATGCATAATTAAGATACAAAACACGAGCATCTGCTCCTGGCCCTTGCGACTTTGTTCTCACTTCAGAATGACTCAAAATCTATGTCTGTATCTTATTTATATTATAGGACTCTCTTAGGACTTTAAAAATTACTTGGGAAGAATAAAAGACTATACTTGCATGAAAATAATGTTACCGAGAAAAGGCATGTAACATATAATGAATAGTGTCTGGTGGGGGAGCTAAATAGTACAAGTAAGAGAAGGGTCAATCAAAATTATTACATGTTCTCGCTTTTATTGTACCATTGTTTGTGCATACATAAAAAAAATTACAAGTCCTTGAAAAAAATTTATAGTTTAAGTTCACTTGATATCTTCTTAGTCACCATTTTTTCAATAAAAAGAAAAAGATCCCCAGGCAAATAGATATCATACCAATTTATAATTTTATTAATCATCTATAGATATATTCTCACTGTGCTCCACAATAGTTTTGTATATATCCAATTAAAAATAAAATGTAGATAGCCCATTTTCGCTAAGATAACAAATTCTAGCAAATATATTATATTATTTATCTTTTTAATAATATAAATCCATATAAAAAATAGTTAAGATAAACTGAGAAAGACTTGAGAATTAGTAGCATAAAAACCATGGTCTCTAAAACACTTACAAAATAACAGTTATTTTAATCTGCTCAAAAAATTTTTGTGGTAATGCCAATGAACAATCAACCTACATTATAAAAATAATGTATATAATTAGTAAAAAGAATGTATATAGATACATTATAATGAATAATCAACCTACATTATATATATATATA